CCCCCCCGAAAGAGGGAGAATCCCCCTTGATCCTTCGCTCCGGGAACAGCGGTTCCGTCCGGGTGGATCTCGGCGCGGGGCGGTATTCCAGCCTCCGGGCGGGTTTTGTGCGCCGCCTGCCTTGGGGCTAAGCTGCTTCCTCTGCCTTCCCGTCCGTAAACGCCGTGCGGTTTCGTGCCAGCCCGTGGGGACGCCGAGAGTCTTCCGCGGTCTCTAACCAACGTTGTTTTCCCCTTCTCTCCCTAGGGACCGGCTGCCTGGTAAAAGCAGTGGAGACGGCGGCCCAGCGCGAGGCGTTCATCGTAGGGAAGCCCAACCGGTACATGTTTGATTGCGTGGCGAGCGAGTTCGACATCGATCCCGCCCGTACCATCATGGTGGGAGACCGGCTGGACACAGACATCCTCATGGGCAACAGCTGCGGCCTCACCACCCTGCTGACGCTTACCGGGGTGACCACGCTGGACGAAGTGAAGGGCCACCAGGAGAGCGGCTGTCCCGCCAGGCAGAGCCTGGTTCCCGATTACTACGTCGACAGCGTAGCCGACCTCCTCCCAGCACTGGGGGATTAATATAGCAAAACGCTTGCAGCCTCCCAGCGGTACCCCAAGGCAGGCCCCCGTTAACCACCTCGTGACAGTGACGCACGCGCTAGGATGCCACCCGGCGTTAGCAGCCCTTAGCTCTTTAACCGTTCTGTCCTCGCGGTGTGGTTTTGTTTACATCTCGGTCTTTAAATGCACTTTGAAACAAAGAGGGCATTGCGGTGTCGCCCGAGTCTCCCGGGCTTGGGGCTTTTTTTTTTTTTAAGTTATAAGCGACGCAGCTACCCAAATGTTTGTGATACTCGGTGTCACGTTGTCCTCTAGACTGAGTTGAGGAAAGTAGAGCTGGTTGATCTGAGGAAAAGAACCCAACGACTTGCAGCGCGTCCTCGCCCGGACGGGCCGCGGCTCAGTCTGGTTTATTCAGGGAAACGTCTCGTGGAGCCTGTAATAACTTAGCGGCTGCGTTTGGAAACGCTTGCGGTGGCTGGCAGAATTAGCAGTTAGATTGATTTATTGATTTATAAAATCAATATTGATTTTATATTAGATTGATTAGATTGATTATTTCTAGCCTTAGATTGATTTATTTATTAGATTGATTTATTCCCCCACCCCCCGGACGGGGGTCCTCTTTGGCGGTACAGCCCCGCCGCAAGCGCGCCGCCGGGTCACGGACACGGCAGCCCGCCT